TTTTTTTTTCACGTGTAGTATAGAAATTTGTAATAAGATACATAATGCGGTTATAATAAAATATCGTGCGATTATTTTCATACAATTAAAATTAATATGTATTTATTTTTTATAAAATAGAGGGAAGCGGCGCTTCCCCCGCTTCTAATGACGGCACGCCACTGCTGGTCTACATATTCCGTAGAATAACTTTTATAATATACTGTATAATTTTAAATATTTTGATAAAAATAATGAACAGTAATCAAAAGACAAATTTGACGTTCAACAAACGAACAGTAGCAAATTTTTTCGTAATAAATTAATTCTGACTGTGGTGTAAATACACAACAGTCAGAATTATGCTTGTCCAGCTTCTTGACGTTACGAAGTAGCGACATCTCGTGGTAAAAAACAGAACTACGGCTATGGAATCGTTCTGTAATTAGACTTCCTTATAAATACGTAGCTTATTTGTGACAGGACTCTGAAAATTCTTTACTTGTTAGAACCTGTAATATCTGGAATAATTGTTCTTATGCTGTCTTAATTTTTAACCATGCCCAGTAGCTTCAATAAATGCGTAACGCCAGGTTGTGCAAATTGGGCAAGGATACAAACGAAGTCTGCAAGTATGAAGTTTTTCTTCATAAACCTGGTTATTAAAGCCAAACGAATTGCCGAATTATTGTACTACAAGCTTGATGCCGCTATTAAAGCAGCCGAGGTAGACAAATCAAGAATACTAGAGAGCAAAAGAAGTACTACAATCTCGAAAACAAACTCGAAATCTTCCAGGCTACAGGTGAAAAACACATAATATCTATCTTCTCTTAAATGCATTAAACACGATTCCAATCGCATCAATTGAATCGGAAAGGGCATTCTCCGTAGCAAGACTTTTCATTACTAAAATAAGAATTAGAGTGAGTGATCGGAGTATTGACCATCTTTGCTTTTTAAAATCTTATAAAGGTACAATATTTTGTATTATATTTTATTTAAAAAACGAAAATTACCTTCTAAGTTAGAAGTTTGATCTAAGTTCATTTTTTAAAAATTTTAAACTCAATTCAAAGCATTTTGTTGTTGTTGTTGTTGTATGCAGTTTCCAGCAAACTTTAATAACTTTTCTCTATTTGTGAAAATTTCTACGTAATTCAAAGGTAATTTTTATTATGTATCTTACACAGCATTATTAATATGATTTTGGATGTTACAGAACTTTAAAATTACTTTAAAAAATGAAAAATAATTACAGTAAATTATCGATTATCCGACCCCCGATCAACCGTCACATCAGTTAACCGACCGCGTTCTAGTCGGCAAATTCAAATGTCCGCTAGTGATGTGGCTACAATATTTGGCTATGTCTTGGCTACTTTAATATTATTTTTGTTAAATTTTGCGTGTTTCAGCTGGCAACACTGTCTCGACCATGAAAGGGAGGCCACTATTTAAATGAGGCTTAATTTTCTAATTTTTAACGATGCAATAGCGACGATTATTATTTAAAAAATTTTTGTTAGGCTTAACATCGATGAAAATTCAACGCGAAGTAGGTTAATAGCGATATACTAACATACTAATTACATGGGATATACTAATATACTATGCTAATAATGTATTTTTTCATACGACCAACCCCAGTCCCCAATTGAGTCGGATAATCGATGCTCTACTGTATATCATTTGATTTCAAAATATTTTGTATATCTTAAAAATAATTAATTTTGTCCCGGGAAACAGTTCACTTTTATCCCGGAATCCCGGAACAAGCAAAAGACTGGGAAATGAGAAACCCTAGCCTTGACATTATGTGGCAGCACAGTAGGCGCAGTAACCAATGACAACAGTTTGTATATCATTGAAATGGCATTGGCATTTAATTTAAATTCATTCAAAACAGTGATTGTCCTAAAGTTATCCTACTTGTCACAAAGTAACTCCAGTTTCCGGTAATGAATAATTTTGGCGATTCCTACCGTTTACAACATTTATCAAAGGAACGATATCTGTTTTTATCTAAACTTTTCCACCAACAAAGCTACCACTCGAATTGAAAAGCCCTCTAAACCTGCTGTCGAGTGAGTCTAGAAAATAGGTCAACTTGTTTCTAATCGCTGTCTCCATTGTGGCAGGCGAGAAACGTCGTCTCTGCAATGAAATTTTTCTGAACAGCGGTTTACCCGATCTGTAAACCGCCGTCGGTCTCTAAACATTGTCTCAGAAATCGGCTGATTGCGTTCAGCTGTGGAAAATATGGTTTTGCGATTAGAGCACATTGTTCAAAATTAAGGAGGACATATTGAGCAATTTTAGTGCTACATATTCGACATTTATATGTGCACGCATATTCAATATTTCTGTATGCTCCAACGCCACCTATCGACGTATTTTTGTACTATTTTGTTTTATTTAAGAAATGTCAAGCGCATCATTTGTATTATCTGTACTCCAAATTTTGTCTCATTTCGAGCGGTAGAACGCAGAGCTTTCTGAAGTGGGAAACATTTCTTGCTAACCCTTTACTTATTTCAACTGTACACCGGTTCAGTCCGAAGTGGCTTTTAAAAGAAACATCGATATAGTGTGGTATAAATTTTTTTATGAATCCTTCTATCTTAGCACATTTTGTGCCTTTGTTTCTCCCCCACTTCTATTACTTCTAGAATTAACATATCTTCGTTTATACTTGTTGTAAGACATTTTTATAATTAAATGATTTGTAGGCAATTCGCATAATGAATAAACACACATCGCATCAGCCATTATTCAGCAGCATCGAAACACATGGTAACAACAAGTCATTTCTTTTCTCTCGGAAATGATGTCATCGTTTTGCTCATCTCTCCCCAACGGTGTTGCTCACACCGCGGAATTTAGAAACGTTCTTTTTGAGTTCAACTCCCGTCTGCGACAGATTCTAACACTCACCCGTTGCGGAATCGAAAAATCCCCAGGAATTTTTCGGGGAGTGATTCCATTTTTCGGGCAGCCACATTGGGCCTGGTTGAACCCATAATGAGCTTGCTAAAAAAGAGGGCCTCTTAGTGCCCACAGGAAGGAAAGAGCTAAAAAAATTCACCCTTTGCGATGGGAAAAACAGGCAAACGAAGTCGAGCAGATGCCAAACATTCGGACCGATCGAAGAACGGTAAAATCGAGAAGAACTTCGATAAGATAGCTTCTGATAATAAACACGATTTTACTATCGGTTGTAAGCAATCAGTCATCTAGTGCAGTATTTTAACCGATCGAAAGGAATCCTCTGGTTTATTGGGAAACACTAAGAAAAGTAAAAATTGCGCGTATCTTGCAGACAATTCCGCCAAAATATGGCTTCTTGAATGGCACGATTCCGCTTTCTCAATGAAATAAGTTTAACAGATAACGACAAATGGCGATTATCCAATCGCTTAATGTGTAGGCTTACCGCTGCGAGGAAGTCGACCTAAATCCGGT